ATGGGTCATGTTTGACTAAGAACCATGTCAAGAGACACGGCGCCATCCTGGCAATCAGCAAGTGGGTAAAAGGTAGTGTATGTCGCGCATTTACCACGGTGGATCGAGCCTACACTAGTCTTTGCGCTGAATGACCCACAGGGATTTAGCGCTTCATATAAAGCATAATAATACCAGCTCTCTTACTCACTTGCTGATTTAGCTTCTTTATTCAAGCTTTCCTTATTATGAAATATTTTATTAAACTATATTTTAGTTGAAAGTTTAAATAGGTGAAGTTTAACTATAGCAACAAGTGACCTTCTGAACCTCATGTATAACACTAATGTAATATTATTATTTTAAATTATTATTATTATTTTCGTGGGGAGGTTGAAAACTAACAATGAGTCAAATATATCACCTAGAACATGAAAGGTAAATTTTGATTAATTCAAGATGCTCTAGCATCAAGGCACTTCCACCCAGCATCAAGGCACTTCCACCCAGCATCAAGGCACTTCCACCCAGCATCAAGGCACTTCCACCCAGCAGCAAGGCACTTCCACCCAGCAGCAAGGCACTTCCACCCAGCATCAAGGCACCACCCAGCATCAAGGCACTTCCACCCAGCATCAAGGCACTTCCACCCAGCAGCAAGGCACTTCCACCCAGCATCAAGGCACCTCCACCCAGCATCAAGGCACTTCCACCCAGCATCAAGGCACTTCCACCCAGCAGCAAGGCACTTCCACCCAGCAGCAAGGCACTTCCACCCAGCATCAAGGCACCTCCACCCAGCAGCAAGGCACTTCCACCCAGCATCAAGGCACCACCCAGCATCAAGGCACTTCCACCCAGCATCAAGGCACTTCCACCCAGCAGCAAGGCACTTCCACCCAGCATCAAGGCACCTCCACCCAGCATCAAGGCACTTCCACCCAGCATCAAGGCACTTCCACCCAGCAGCAAGGCACTTCCACCCAGCAGCAAGGCACTTCCACCCAGCATCAAGGCACCTCCACCCAGCAGCAAGGCACTTCCACCCAGCATCAAGGCACCTCCACCCAGCATCAAGGCACCTCCACCCATCGAGGCAGCTCCACCTAGCGTCAAGGCACCTCCACCCAGCGTCAAAGCACCACCCAGCGTCAAGGCACCTCCACCCAGCGTCAAGGCACCTCCACCCAGCGTCAAGGCACCACCCAACGTCAAGGCAACTCCACCTAGCGTCAAGGCACCTCCACCCAGCATCAAGGCACCTCCACCCAGCGTCAAGGCAGCTCCACCTAGCGTCAAGGCACCTCCACCCAGCATCAAGGCACCTCCACCCAGCGTCAAGGCACCTTCACCCAGCATCAAAGCACCTCCACCCAGCATCAAGGCACCTTCACCCATCTCTTGAAAGACCACTTAAGAAACACTGTCAGTTGTAGGAGTGGCCCTTGATAACCTTCTGACAACCTCTCCTGCAGGACTCCCTGCTGCTTTGTCCTCCTACTAGTAGTGTTGTATCCTTCAAGGGACTGTCCAGTAGCACCGTCAAGGACTGTTTATCCGAGGAATTAGAACCAATCTCCCCATCCTCGGAGTAAACCTGGTTCCTTCCCTTTTCTCAGGTGCTGTATTATCCCTATAATCATAATTAATAATAATATTTATAGTAATAACAATAATAGTAGTGGTATATACATTGTTACTACCTTCAACCACTAATGTATATGACCCATACGGGTTTACCTATTATTTTTAATGTAATAATAACAACACCATACATTTATAATGATCCATTTTATAATACTACAAATGTACCATAATTACCATGGTCCACTATGGTACTCTGACATGCATGGTGGACTCAACGAGCATTATTATTATTATTATTATTACATTCATGGGGGAACATATTTGATTCGAGTGTTCGTCCGTTTTCTTAAGATCTCGTCAGCAGCATGAAGGAGTCTTCCTTAAGGGGATTAATTGTGCAATATAATTAACTATGGTACACTTCACAGGGTGTGGGGCTACATCGGGTGTATGGTGTTCACTCCCTTCTCCGGCTGGCTCATCGATACCATGAGTTTTGATATCAATCATCCTGACTTCAGGTGAGTAGTGACTATCCTCTAACTCTCTTCTCTTTATTACATTAACATATGCATATGCACTCATGTAAATAATGTACACAGTACACACACACACACACACACACACACACACACACACACACACACACACACACACACACACACACACACACACACACACACACACACTATATTATAATATATAAATATATATATATATATATATATATATATATACAAATTCAAAATGGGAATTAACACAGTTACTTTTTGCTGATGATACTGTGCTTATGGGAGATTCTAAAGAAAAATTGCAAAGGTTAGTGGATGAGTTTGAGAATGTGTGTAAAGGTAGAAAGTTGAAAGTGAACATAGAAAAGAGTAAGGTGATGAGGGTATCAAATGATTTAGATAAAGAAAAATTGGATATCAAATTGGGGAGGAGGAGTATGGAAGAAGTGAATGTTTTCAGATACTTGGGAGGTGACGTGTCGGCGGATGGATTTATGAAGGATGAGGTTAATCATAGAATTGATGAGGGAAAAAAGGTGAGTGGTGCGTTGAGGTATATGTGGAGTCAAAAAACGTTATCTATGGAGGCAAAGAAGGGAATGTATGAAAGTATAGTAGTACCAACACTCTTATATGGGTGTGAAGCTTGGGTGGTAAATGCAGCAGCGAGGAGACGGTTGGAGGCAGTGGAGATGTCCAGTTTAAGGGCAATGTGTGGTGTAAATATTATGCAGAAAATTTGGAGTGTGGAAATTAGGAAAAGGTGTGGAGTTAATAAAAGTATTAGTCAGAGGGCAGAAAAGGGGTTGTTGAGGTGGTTTGGTCATTTAGAGAGAATGGATCAAAGTAGAATGACATGGAAAGCATATAAATCTATAGGGGAAGGAAGGCGGGGTAGGGGTCGTCCTCGAAAGGGTTGGAGAGAGGGGGTAAAGGAGGTTTTGTGGGCAAGGGGCTTGGACTTCCAGCAAGCGTGCGTGAGCGTGTTAGGTAGGACTGAATGGAGACGAATGGTACTTGGGACCTGACGAGTGTGAGCAGGGTAATATTTAGTGAAGGGATTCAGGGAAACCGGTTATTTTCATTTAGTCGGACTTGAGTCCTGGAAATGGGAAGTACAGTCCCTGCACTTTAAAGGAGGGGTTTGGGATATTGGCAGTTTGGAGGGATATGTTGTGTATCTTTATACGTATATGCTTCTAAACTGTTGTATTCTGAGCACCTCTGCAAAAACAGTGATAATGTGCGAGTGTGGTGAAAGTGTTGAATGATGATGAAAGTATTTTCTGTTTGGGGATTTTCTTTCTCTTTTTGGTCACCCTGCCTCGGTGGGAGACGGCCGACTTGTTGAAAAAAAAAAATATATATATATATATATATATATATATATATATATATATATATATATATATATATATATATATATATATATATATATATATATATTATATATATATATATATATATATATATATATATATATATATATATATATATATATATATATATATATATATATATATATACTATATATATTAGTGATTTTGTGTGAATGATGGTGAAAGTGTTTCTTTTCGAGTCAAAGACCTGCGAGGAATACAGTGATAAACATAAACTAGAGCAGAAATAATAGTACAGGAACTGTACGAGAGATGTACGTGTTTCCTCAGACCAGCCTTCTACCTCTTCGTGGGGTTGCAGAGCCTGGCAGGTCTGGTGGCGCTCTCTGTCGACCTCAAGTTCAGGACACCGTGTGACCACGTCATCAAAAATATCTGGATGCTCATGCACAACCCGGAGGTCATCATGCTCTTCGTTGCCATGATGCTCGCTGGTGGGTCACAGTATCTTTAAATCTGTCATCAGACGCCTTCATTTTCTGCGGGAGGGTCACAATCTCTTTAAACTTTCATTATAGACGTGTATGTTTGTGGGTCACAATTTGTTACTATCATGAGAGACATGTGCTCCTGGGTCAGAGTCTTCATAATTATTACTAGAGACATGTATGCTAGTGAGTCACATTCTCTATATCTATCATTACAAATGTATATATTTCTGAGTCACAAAGTCTATGACTATCATTAGTAGACACATGTCACATGCTGGTGGTTCACGGTCTACAATTACCATAAAACATGTGTCACATGCTGGTGGGTCACGGTCTATAATTACCGTAAGACACATATCACATGCTGGCGGGTCACAACCTTTTTATACGATGTTCCTTGACACATTTGTGTCTTATTTGGATTATTTTTAAATTCATGGGGAAGTGCCAAAAAGTAATGGTAATAAAGCGTTTGGGGAACGATAGGTAATAAGGGTTGATCCATGGAAGGGGAAGCTATCTCTTGTATCTTAAAGCAAGAGCATCAAAGCAGGTTCATTGAAGTATCATGTTTTATTAAACTCCCATTAACAAACATGTGTTAGGTTGTGTATTCATTACCTAGAGATTCACAATCTCTCCTTCCCCTCAAGAACCAATTAAAGTTGTGCAAATTCTTCTATAGCCTGGGTAAATTTAAGTTATTTATATTACGCATAGTGAAGTTATTAGTTTATTTTATGACAGAATTAATGATTAGCATATCAGAAGTTTGCATGACTTAATCCTACCCTTTTGTAGGTAAAGATTTGGAGGAGAGCGGGACGAATCTGCAGGAGACCTTCTTATGTAGGTACATTAATGAAGGCATCATTACAGTGAATTTTGTGGTGAATCCTCGACGTGTTCGGGAGATTCCAAGAAGCGTTTGATTTGTAGTTCAAAGTTCTGATCCTAGCTTACAATGTAGCCATTCCTTATTTCGATTTATATAGTTTATGTGCATTAATGTGTATCAGAAAAGCCTAACTTGAAAAACAGTAGCCACGAAGGCGCTGCAGAGGCTAATTTCAAACGGACGTTATATATTGACAAAAAATAATTTATTCCCACAGGGGCGTTCTTCGGATTTCTGGAGGCTTTTCTCTTTTGGTTCTTGGGTGACCTTGGAGCCTCACGCTCTCTCATGGGCTTGACAGTGACCATGGGTGCGGCATCAGCCATACCATTCCTCGTCTTCATGTCTTCCATCATCAACAAATTTGGCCACCTCGGTGTCATCGCCTCAGGCTTCATTATGTACGCCATCAGGTTTGCTGGTCAGTGTCCCTCCAGCCACAGCTTTCTTCCAGTTTTAAGCATTAGCCTGAAATAATTATGCCTCCCACCAGAGCAGGATTAGTATTTGACCATAAGTTTTACGTTTTATTATTTATAATTATTCTGTGCGTCATTAACTTTGAGATTAATTTCTAACGGGGTAGAGGCAGTGTTCACTGAACACATTTAAGTAATTCGACTTTGCGAGAAAATCACTGTAGAGGAAAGATAGGAAAATTTTCAACTTATGCAGAAGTGTTAGTCAAAATATTACTAATCTATCGAAGTGAATTTTAACTATGTAACTTACAGATACTTTTTATGTGTTGGCTAATTTTTGAGTGAAAAACAAGGCTAAATCGAAATTTTTACTACGTCAGTTTATGATGTACCAGCGTCGGTACAGAGGCACTTACATGCTTAACATTTTAATTATGTACTTTTATCCTTAACAAATTAAAGGATCAAAATAAACTCTTAAAGTGTAGATACACTGTGAAATTTAGTAACAAGAGCATCCGTATGAGAGTCAAAATTGTCTTGTCAGCGTTCATTGATGTTTATGTTATACTACGCTGTTATATACATTTAATATTCTTGGAACTTCCTTGGGGAATCTAATGTAAGTTTTAAAAGTAAATATAGAAAATGTAATAATTGTAAAAAATATAAAGTGAATTATCAATCACTGAAGGGAAACTTTTAAGTATTTGCCTGATTGTTTTTTTTCCTCCACGGTTCTTGTTTGTAACTTCAAAATGTTTTATCAGATCGGCTTCAAATTTTCAAAATTAGTATGTTGTAACTAGGGAAAGGTTTATGAACTATTGGCATATGCAGGTGTCCTCTGGTTAATATTATAATAGACCATGCATGGATTTGGCTAAAGTGTCATTTGAAATCAGGTGAATTTGTAAATGAAGTGATAAGCCTATAGAGGCAGGTGCCAGAAGTCGCCAGAAACTTACCACAGAGGTCAGCTGTTCTAATAATCTTCCTGGCCTGCTAGTGTACTCGCATATAATCTAGTGATACCAGTGAATAGCAGAATACAGTGTTGTAGTAGCAACTAACCAGTATTATAATGGTACTTAGTGGAGTGGAGTGACTTTCATTAGTTTATTTTTTCTTGAAATACCAGACGTATACTGTGAATTTCATATAACCTGTAGTTACCAGCTGTCGCAATATACACAACGAGAAGCAAATATTACTACAGAAAAAGCGTCCTTCCTCCAAAATTTCCACCAGTCAACTATAGTGATAATATAGCATTTATTCTCCGTCAACTATAGTGATAATATAGCATTTATTGTGGTGGAGACGAAAAAAAACTAGAAAAGCTAGATACAGCGATTGATAAACAAGGGTTGAGGTCGACCGTTCGTCATTGTAGGAGCTGCCAGCAATCACCGGTTCTTCAACACGCAAGTTATACTTTTGTATCAATCAAATCACATATTACTCGGATAGATAATTTCAAGTAGATCCTTCATGTGTTAGCCCAAATCACCGACCAGTATGTTTTAAATAAGTGACCCACTGATCAGATCAGACTGGTCCGAACCCTTGACTGGTTTCAAACGGATTCGTTGGACAATAAAGCAGACTGTAAACGGATGGGGTTGCAGGCGCCCTTATCAAACACAAACAAATATAAATCAGGAACGTACACGGTAAGCTGTCCAATATACAAGTACAGTTAGAAATAGAAATACAAATAGCTAGAGCTTCATTTAAGGAGGTTATTAATAGAGTATTCAAGAGGTTGCTAGTAGAATTACAGTAAATCAACCATTCAAATCATTATGAAGCCCTGTGTAGTCTGCAGTCAATCGAACAAACGGGCTTCCACATGGATAAATTGTCATTTTTGTGGAAATTGGTGTCACGCCCCTTGTGCAGATATCCAAGAACTAGCTACAAGCAGTATTAAAACAGGGAAGTGTTTTTGGGTATGCCCAAATGAGATAAATCTGTGGACTAAAATCACAAGGGTATTAAAAGAGGATAACATCAAAGCTGCTTTCATAGAAAACCTGGAAGCTTTCTACAACAGATGGGAACATAAAAAGTCTGGGCTGAATGGTACTGCCCTTGATACTGGCCATGTAGTCAGAAACTGTAAGGCTGGAGGTGATGTCCTGGTAGTCAGTAAATGTGGGGCTGATAGTGCTGTCCCGGGAGACAGTAATGGTGAAGCTGGAGGTGCTGTCCTGGGAGACAGTAATGGGGAAGCTGGAGGTGCTGTCCTGGGAGACAGTAATGGTGAAGCTGGAGGTGCTGTCCTGAGAGACAGTAATGGGGAAGCTGGAGGTGCTGTCCTGGGAGACAGTAATGGTGAAGCGGGAGGTGCTGTCCTGGGAGACAGTAATGGTGAAGCTGGAGATTTTGTCCAGGTAGTCGGGAATTTTACGCAGGAGGAATACATATAAATGACCTCATAGAGGACAGGAGCCGTAGTGGGGAAACAAGTGTAGTCAAAGATAAGATAAAACCAATATTGCAAACTAGAAATACCACAGGAAATAGCAAACAAGAGGACTCCACTAGCAATAGTGAGGATATATTACCAAAAACAGCTGGTGGGAGCTCCATTGTTGGTGCTAGGGAGGATAGGAATAAGACAGGGAAACATGCACCAACAGGGAATACAGTCACAGAAACCCAAGGCAAACGGAAACCAAGCCTGTGCACATACTATGCACTTGGTATCTGCAGGCATGGGAAATCTGGGAAAACAGACGGGACGTGCAACTATGACCACCCTAGAAAATGCCGTGCCCATATGACAACAGGAAAATGCAAACTCCCTTCCTGTAAGCTTTTTCACCCTGAAATGTGTACCTCTTCAGTACAGGAAAGACTGTGCTATAACTTAAATTGCCAGGCGCACCATCTAAAGGGGACAAAAAGATACAAAACATCCAGGCATGGGAAAACCTGGGTAGCCACAGCCACTCAAGAGGGAGAGGTTTTTTTCTGCCAGGAAGGAAAAAAAACTGGCAGGAAATGGCAGAAATCGTACACTAATCCAGTCATTCCTGGAGTGGAACCACAGTCGATGGCCTCCACTCCAAACCAACAGATACAGATACTAATGCCGGAAAAAAAATCCCCCCCCCCAGTACCAACAATATCACCAGTCCGATGACATTCTTCTTTGCAAATATACAGGGTCTAAAGCCAGCAACAAACAACAAAATACCTTTCATCCGTGGACTGCTTGCAGAGGCAAAGACAATGTTCGCGGCTTTCACTGAGACCCACATAAAGGATCACTTGGACAACGAAATATGGATCCCAGGTTACAACCTATACAGATGTGACAAAGTGAACAGGCAAAATGGGGGGGGGGTTGGCCTGTACATTGCAGAGTCACTTGTTTGCACAGAACTGCTTAATGCCTCAAATGATGTAGTGGAAATTTTAGCAGTAAAGGTCGAGAACCAAAACCTAGTCATTGTGGTAGTCTACAAGCCTCCAGATGCAACATTCCAGCAATTCCAGGAACAGCTGTTAAAAATTGACCACTGGAAAATCTTCCAGCTCCTGCACCCAACATCTTGCTCCTGGGGGATTTCAACTTAAGGCACCTAAAATGGAGGAATATAGCAAATAATATTGTTGCAGTAATAACACCAGGAGGCAGCTCTGATGAAAACTCACACTCACAGGAGCTTTTAAATCTCTGCACAAAATTCAATTTGAACCAGCAAATAATAGAGCCTACTAGACTGGAGAATACACTAGACCTCATCTTCACTAACAATGATGATCTGATAAGAAATGTCACCATATCAAAAACAATATACTCAGATCACAACATAATTGAGGTTCAGACATGTATGCGTGGAGCCCCAGACCGACATAATGAGATTAGTCACGAGGGAGCATTCACCAAATTCAACTTCAATAACAAAAACATTAAGTGGGACCAAGTAAACTAAGTCCTAACCGATATAAGCTGGGAAGATATACTAAGCAACACAGACCCCAACTTATGCCTAGAACAGATTAACTTGGTGGCACTCGATGTATGCACAAGGCTTATTCCTCCAAGAAAAAGGAGGAGTAGATGTAAAATAGAAAGAGACAGGCGCTCCCTTTACAGGCGACGGAAAAGAATAACAGAGCGGCTAAAAGAGGTCAATATATCTGAAATGCATAGGGAGACACTGGTCAGAGAAATAGCAAGCATCGAACTTAAGCTAAAGGAATCTTATAGGAGTCAGGAATCGCAGGAAGAACTAAAAGCCATAAATGAAATCGAAAGAAACCCAAAGTATTTCTTCTCCTATGCCAAATCAAAGTCGAGAACAACGTCCAGTATTGGGCTCCTACTTAAACAAGATGGGTCCTACACAGATGACAGCAATGAAATGAGTGAACTACTCAAGTCCCAATATGACTCAGTTTTTAGCAAGCCGCTAACCAGACTGAGAGTCGAAGATCAAAATGAATTTTTTATGAGAGAGCCACAGAATTTGGTTAACAAAAGCCTATCCGATGTTATCCTGACGCCAAATGACTTCGAACAGGCGATAAATGACATGTCCATGCACTCTGCCCCAGGGCCAGACTCATGGAACTCCGTGTTCATCAAGAACTGCAAGAAGCCCCTATCACGAGCCTTTTCCATCCTATGGAGAGGGAGCATGGACACGGGGGTCGTCCCACAGTTACTAAAAACAACAGACATAGCCCCACTCCACAAAGGGGGCAGTAAAGCAACAGCAAAGAACTACAGACCGATAGCACTAACATCCCATATCATAAAAATCTTTGAAAGGGTCCTAAGAAGCAAGATCACCACCCATCTAGAAACCCATCAGTTACACAACCCAGGGCAACATGGGTTTAGAACAGGTCGCTCCTGTCTGTCTCAACTATTGGATCACTACGACAAGGTCCTAGATGCACTAGAAGACAAAAAGAATGCAGATGTAATATATACAGACTTTGCAAAAGCCTTCGACAAGTGTGACCATGGCGTAATAGCGCACAAAATGCGTGCTAAAGGAATAACAGGAAAAGTCGGTCGATGGATCTATAATTTCCTCACTAACAGAACACAGAGAGTAGTCGTCAACAGAGTAAAATCCGAGGCAGCTACGGTGAAAAGCTCTGTTCCACAAGGCACAGTACTCGCTCCCATCTTGTTCCTCATCCTCATATCCGACATAGACAAGGATGTCAGCCACAGCACCGTGTCTTCCTTTGCAGATGACACCCGAATCTGCATGACAGTGTCCTCCATTGCAGACACTGCAAGGCTCCAGGCGGACATCAACCAAATCTTTCAGTGGGCTGCAGAAAACAATATGAAGTTCAACGATGAGAAATTTCAGTTACTCAGATATGGTAAACACGAGGAAATTAAATATTCATCAGAGTACAAAACAAATTCTGGCCACAAAATAGAGCGAAACACCAACGTCAAAGACCTGGGAGTGATCATGTCGGAGGATCTCACCTTCAAGGACCATTACATTGTATCAATCGCATCTGCTAGAAAAATGACAGGATGGATAATGAGAACCTTCAAAACTAGGGAGGCCAAGCCCATGATGACACTTTTCAGGTCACTTGTTCTATCTAGGCTGGAATATTTCTGCACACTAACAGCACCTTTCAAGGCACGTGAAATTGCTGACCTAGAAAATGTAGAGAACCTTCACGGCGCGCATAACGGAGATAAAACACCTCAATTACTGGGAGCGCTTGAGGTTCCTAAACCTGTATTCGCTGGAACGCAGGCGGGAGAGATACATGATTATATACACCTGGAAAATCCTAGAGGGACTAGTACCGAACTTGCACACGAAAATCACTCACTACGAAAGCAAAAGACTTGGCAGACGATGCAACATCCCCCCAATGAAAAGCAGGGGTGTCACTAGCACGTTAAGAGACCATACAATAAGTGTCAGGGGCCCGAGACTGTTCAACTGCCTCCCAGCACACATAAGGGGGATTACCAACAGACCCCTGGCAGTCTTCAAGCTGGCACTGGACAAGCACCTAAAGTCAGTTCCTGACCAGCCGGGCTCTGGCTCGTACGTTGGTTTGCGTGCAGCCAGCAGTAACAGCCTGGTTGATCAGGCTCTGATCCACCAGGAGGCCTGGTCACAGACCGGGCCGCGGGGGCGTTGACCCCCGGAACTCTCTCCAGGTAAACTCCAGGTATACGATAACTTGAGAAAGCTGCTTGTGCTCGGCTTCAAATTTCCAATATTATAATTATGGGGGAGCGCTAAACGCATAGGATTATACAGCGCCTGTTGGGAGAGGGGGAGAATTGAAGGTATTCTATTCAGGCACAGTTCAGGGAACCGGAGCACAGATCCAATTCCCTAGATCAAGAGCCTTTCACCAGCGCCAAGGAACATCTCTTAAGGGGATTCCAATTTCCAAGACTTGTGTATCCGTCTTAAAGTTGAGACTGTTACCTCAGTGTGTAGGAGTCAATTATACCGTTTCATTAGAATAAATTGAAATATTAGTTTCCATGTGATAAACTGCGAATGTTTCTGATTGGCTTTAGATCTCCGGTGCTGATACTTAACTAAATTTGAAACTTGCTACACTCTGCACTTGGGGAAAATAATTTCCCAATATTATGCTGTGTAAATAAACCTGATTAAAAGTGTATTTTTAAAAGAAGAGAATGGAGCCGACAGGGTAAGCTGCGCCTGCGCAGACGAGACTCGCCATTTTGTTTGAATGAGCCAAGAAAACGATAGTAAAATGGGAAGAATTTTTCGTGCTCTAGAGGTTAAAATTGGGCTGACACCTCTCAAATAGGAGGCGAAATTGTTGGATGTGTATTCCTGCATAACTTGAGATATCAGGCGACTGGACAGCTCCAGGAACCTCAGATAAGTTTATGTTTGTAACTCTGGCCAGTGTTATTTTCCTGTATAGACAGTGAGGTTTTCTGAGTATGATACACCTTGATCTCCAATCAAATTGGTGAGTGATTTTAAGATATTCTCCTTTCTGTTATGTATATGTGTATATATATAATCCTTTATTAATTTAATATACAGTCCACAAACTTATATATTTCCCAGAATTCTTGTTGATGCTTCTTTTATTTATAATTAATAGGTCTAGAGCAAATTGTGGATAAGACATTTGTAGGTATCGAAGGGGGACATTTTTGCGACCTAGGTGTCCCAAATTCCTACTTGTCTATGTAACTGATAAATAATAATTATCTTTGTTATCATTTACTGTTATGTACATAATGAGTTACATACAGATAAATGTAATTTTCCACAGTACTATTCCTTTTACGTGCATTGAGGTAGAGGGGGCTGGTATTATTGGACACGACTGTACTTCTATAAGATTCCACATTGATCGAAATATGTAGTTTGTACAGTATACAGATGCATAACCGAGCCCACATAGAGACGCAATATAAAAAAAAGACCTCATAAGTCAGCCTACCATTGAGGCCCCAAAAACAAAAATTTCTTTTATTGTCTTCTTTTACCTTCTCTCCACGTTGCTTCGGTTATCATTGACCGGTTTATTTTTATATACACATCTTTAATTTTGGGCCAAAACTTTCTATACAGGGTGATCTACCCTTTCTGAACTTACCTAATATACAAGAATATCTGAACTTTCAGGCTACGCCTCCATCTACAACCCTGTGAGCGCCCTCTACTTTGAGGCTTTGGAAGGTATAACCATTGGTCTCATGCTGTCAGCTGGGATGACATACGCTAGTGAACTTTGCTCCACCAAGAACATTGTCTCCTTACAGGCACTCTGTGGGACACTTTACTACGGAGTTGGTGAGTCTTCCAGAGAGAGAAAGATAGAGAAAGAGTGAGAGAGAGAGAGAGAGAGAGGGGGGGGGGTCTTGAAAACCCTCATAAAAGTCATACAGTCACCTCCCTCTTGTAATTTTGGCAGTTTGGGAGACACACAGATGATCAAACCAAATCCAAATTATGTGGCCAGGCATATGGTCACTGTCTTAAACCCTAGGAATATAGGAATATAGATAGCATAATAACTTTATGTGACATGTCAAGATATCTTACTAATGAAAATAAGATACCAGATATACTAAGCAAATTTCCCAAATTTGTTTGCAACAGATAAGTGAACAGTAGATATAAATCCAAATGTACACCTGTTAACCCTTTTGGGGCCTATTTCCTAGGCCTTTTGTTGTCAGGGGTCCTGTCAACTTCCCCACACTACCATGTAGTGATTGATCCCTTGTTTTTTTAAACGGAATGCAAACTCTTGCTGGGAATATGCCCGCGGATGCTAAAATTGTGATGAATTACCATCAGGTTAAAGTCCCGTGTCAGGAGACACTATTTCTTGACAAATTTCCCCAACAAAAATTTGCTGAATTTCATGGTATTTTTAGTTGCTGGTGATTACCAGTGTTTAATATGTGAGCATGATTAGTTGTGTTGTACACAGGTAAAGGCCTGGGCAGCGTTGTTGGAGGTTACATGTACTACCACCTGGGAGCTCGGAAGACCTTCCGCATGATGACAGTGGCCAGTCTACTCAGTGCCATCATCTTCCTAGTCTTCCAAATATACATCCAGCAGCGCAACCGTCTTCGTGAGCTTAATCAATCGGAAAAGGAGAAGCTTTTACTTGCAGAAGACGCCGTAGAAATTATCAAGCTAAAAATTCCCAAGGAGAAGAAAAGCAAGGACAAGAAATCGAAGAAACGTAAGGACGGGAAGCGAGGAAGCATTCAGATCGACCCTAAAGAAAACGGCATGTATGAACTTCGTAGAGTAACTCTGGTAGATGTGGATACGCAGACTGACCCAGTGCAGTTTGCTGCTGCAATTGCAACTCCTGAGACTGACGACGATGATGACGACTGTTGGGATGAACTAAGTAATTCAAGCATCAGTATCAAAAATTGATCAACATACTCGGATATAACAAATTCCTTATATAACTATGTAACTTGATCCAGAGGACAGCGTATCTAATATAGGTAAAGTATTGTATAGTAGCAAGTGAAGAGGCGTATTTTGAATATTAATTAGTGTAGATGTGTAATTATTTGAGTTGGCAGTGGAGGTTGAGTTGTAGCTCTTGAACCTGTCTCTGTTATGGAGTGACTGATGTGAATTTATTGTTTGTGTGCGTGTGTATCTGTGTGTACTTACCAAGATGAATTTATAGGGGTTGAACTCCACCTCTGTTAGTTACCATTTTGTCCAAGGCACATGTCAATTCGACACTAGGCCTGTTGTATATGAGTGCGTGCGTGAGTGCGTGTGTGTGTGTGTGTGTGTGTGTGTGTGTGTGTGTGTGTGTGTGTGTGTGTGTGTGTGTGTGTGTGTGTGTGTGTGTGTGTGTGTGTGTGTGTGTGTGTGTGTGTGTGTGTACATACTCACCTAACTGTACTCAACTAGCTGTATAGCCCTTGTGGCTTAGCGCTTCTTTTTGATTATAATAATAATGTACTCAACTAATTGTGGTTGCAGGGGTCGAGATCTGTGTGTGTGTAAAGGGTCAACGATAATGACAACTATATTTCATGATTTCAACTGTCTTTATCACTTTATTTACATGTCAGTGTTGCAGTGTGGTAATAGAGTGTGAGTTTTTCCTCTACACACGCTTGGGAAACATCTTAACGGGCAGTTGTGTGAAAGCAATATTTTGTATATTAATTCACTTAATACTTTTAGTAAATTTTAATTTCATGAAGACAAAAGATTGTGAAAAAAAACTGGTCAGTCAAAACCAAAGTTCTTATATAAAGCTTTCGTTTAATATCATATCCTACACGAGCTGGAATCCAGAGTGGTTTGCGCGGCTAGCTTAGTCAGCAGCCAAATATAAAACAATATCTGAAGAGGAAGAAACCCAGAGATCTTGAAGTTTTTTTATAGATCTATAATTTGCTGCAATTTACTCACTTGCTTAAAATGAATAACTGCTGCCCTAACCTCAAGATATTTACATGCTGATGATTAACAAAAATCATATTGGTCTAATGCCAGCATAATACCATAATAATTCGTCACTGTATGTTAAGTGTAATTTCCATTTTGAAAAGTTATGAGGAGGGCAGAGAAGTTTATTTAAATACACACTACACAAAATTAGTCAAGTCCAGAATCATTACGTGAAGCACGTACTATATAATGGAACATTACACGTATTCAACACAAAGTCTGCAAGTCATTAACTCTTTAATTTACTATGGTATTCAATAATTTCGCTGTACTTGATTTATTCTGATTTAGGAACGTAATGAAATTGGCTATAATGTCATGATATATAGATAAAAAATAATCATCATTGCATAGGCAAGAAAACAATATGGAAATAGTGTGCGTTGTTCACCGCTGTACTAAAACATGAACCTGCTGATAAATTAGACACTTGGGCAACAGTTGGGTATCTTTAATGAGGAAACGTTTCGCCACACAGTGGCTTCATCAGTCCATACAAAGGAGAATGGTGAAGAACAGGAGGAGTTTGAGGTATTCATTCCCTCAGCCTTGAGTCGATGTGATCAGTCCATCACTCTTGAAAAGAAAACAGTATATGTGCGAAGAAGTGGCTTATATACTGTAGGCAGGAGAGGTGCAGCAGTCGTAGGTGGTATCATATTTGTCCTGTGTGGAAGTAGATCGTGCCCAAGGGTTAGGCAAGTTGAAGAATTCCCTGTATTAAGATCCTGTTCTTCACCATTCTCCTTTGTATGGACTGATGAAGCCACTGTGTGGCGAAACGTTTCCTTATTAAACATACCCAAATGTTGCAAATGTGTCTAATTTATCAACTTGTCGGTTCTGTGAACCATTCATCTACACGAACCTGCTCTTTAATATAATTTAACAGTGTGTGGTAAGTAAATGATTCATTGTGTGTAAAGTTAACTATTTCTAGCTTTTTGTCCGAAATGCTGTGCATAATCAGGGTTCCATGTTTACTATTAATTGTCGCTGAGTTTCATAAAAACTAATGTATAATGGAAATAAAGTATTATTATTATAACTTTTTACTCCCACATGACTGGTCATGTAGCAACAGTCACACATGAGTGTCCAAGTACTCTCAGTTACACAAGGTACCCAGAACTTGCCACGTGGAGGCGGCTGCTCTTCAAGTTCCTTTTTTTTTTTTTTTTTTTTTACACAATGTATGTAACAAATAATAAACAAAAGAAATCCGAGTGTTTATATAGTGCTGTACTGTGTATTCTAATGGATAGAGTGGAGGAGGTCAACTCTAATATACATTATTTGGGTATTCATACTGGTCAGAAAGTCAATCGTAAGTCTGAGGCCTTCATAAACTACTATGTCGCTAAGTGAGGAGACGGAGTTTATATATATATATATATATATATATATATATATATATATAGAATATATATATATATATATATATATATATATATATATATATATATATATATGTATATATTATATATATATATATATATATATATATATATATATATATATATTGTATATTATATATATATATATATATATATATATATATATATATATATATATTATATATATATATATATATATAATATATATATATATATATATATATATATATATATATTATATATTTTTTCAACAAGTCGGTCATCTCCCACCGAGGCAGGGTGACCCAAAAAGAAAGAAAATCCCCAAAAAGAGAAAATACTTTCATCATCATTCAACACTTTCACCACACTCACACATTATCACTGCTTTTGCAGAGGTGCTCAGAATACAACAGTTTAGAAGCATATACGTATAAAGATACACAACATATCCCTCCAAACTGCCAATATCCCAAACCCTCCTTTAAAGTGCAGGCATTGTACTTCCCATTTCCAGGACTCAAGTCCACTAAATGAAAATAACCGGTTTCCCTGAATCCCTTCACTAAATATTACCCTGCTCACACTCCAACAGATCGTCAGGTCCCAAGTATTCGTCTCCATTCACTCCTATCTAACACGCTCATGCACGCTTGCTGGAAGTCCAAGCCCCTCGCCCACAAAACCTCCTTTACCCCCTCTTTCCAACCCTTTCGAGGACGACCCCTACCCCTCTTTCCTTCCCCTATAGATTTATATGCTTTCCATGTCATTCTACTTTGATCCATTCTCTCTAAATGACCAAACCACCTCAACAACCCCTCTTCTGCCCTCTGACTAATGCTTTTATTAACTCCACACCTTCTCCTAATTTCCACACTCCGAATTTTCTGCATAATATTTACACCACACATTGCCCTTAGACAGGAATCTCCACTGCCTCCAACCGTCTCCTCGCTGCTGCATTTACCACCCAAGCTTCACATCCATATAAGAGTGTTGGTACTACTATACTTTCATACATTCCCTTCTTTGCCTCCATAGATAACGTTTTTTGACTCCACATATACCTCAAACGCACCACTCACTTTTTTTTCCCTCATCAATTCTATGATTAACCTCATCCTTCATAAATCCATCCGCCGACACGTCAACTCCCAAGTATCTGAAAACATTCACTTCTTCCATACTCCTCCTCCCCAATTTGATATCCAATTTTTCTTTATCTAAATCATTTGATACCCTCATCACCTTACTTCTTTTCTATGTTCACTTCCAACTTTCTACCTCTACACACATTCCCCAAACTCATCCACTAACCTTTGCAATTTTTCTTTAGAATCTCCATAAGCACAGTATCATCTGCAAAAAGTAACTGTGTCAATTCCCATTTTGAATTTGATTCCCCATAATTTAATCCCACCCCTCTCCCGAACACCCTAGCATTTACTTCTTTCACAACCCCATCTATAAATATATTAAACAACCATGGTGACATTACACATCCCTGTCTAAGACCTACTTTTACGGGAAGTATTCTCCCTCTCTTCTACACACCCTAACCTGAGCCTCACTATCCTCATAAAAGCTCTTTACAGCATTTAGTAACTTACCACCTATTCCATATACTTGCAACATCTGCCACATTGCTCCTCTATCCACTCTATCATATGCCTTTTCTAAATCCATAAATGCAATAAAAAATTCCCTACCTTTATTCTAAATACTGTTCACATATATGCTTCAATTCGTCAGTCAGTATGTCATTCATCAAGTCATTATCAGTCAAGTCAATTAGTCCATGAAGTCCATTTCAGTCAAGGCAGTAAGTCATTAAGTCATTCAATAAGTCATTTCAGTCAAGTCAGTAAGTCATTCAGATCCAAGTCAGTAATTTCATATCACAAGTCAGTAGGTGCAGTCAAGTCAGTAGTCGCCAAGTCAATAATCATCCTGTCATACAGTAAGTCACTTCAAGTCAATAAGTCCATCCTTTATATCAGTAAAAGTCAGTAATCATTGAGTGAAGTCAGTAAGTCATTCATCAGTCAAAAGTTTATAGTCAAGACTAAGTCATTCAGGTCAAAATCAGTAAGTCAATCTGTAAGTCAAAAAAAATGTTCAGTCAAGGTCAGTAAGAGTCCAGTCATCAAGTCAGGAAGTCATTCAGTCAATCATAAGTCACTCAGTAAAGTCAGTAATCATTCAGTCCAGTCAGTAAATCTTCATCATCAGGAAGTCATCCATGCAAGTTCAAGTCAGTAAGTCATTCAGACCAAGTCATAAATCAGTCAAGTCATAAGTCAACTGAGTGAAGTCTAGTAAGTATTCATCAAGGTCAATACGTAAAGTCAAGACAGTAAGTCATTCATCAAATCAGTAATCCAATCTGTCAAGTCCAAAAAAATGTTCAAGTCAAGTCAGTAACATTCAGTCAAGTCAGTATGTCATCATCAATTGCTGTAGTCACTCAGTAAAGTCAGTAAAGGTCTTTCAGTCAAGTCAGTAATCATTTCAGTCAATCATAAATCATTCAGTCAAGTCAGGAAGTCATTCAATCAAGTCAGTAAATCATCAGTCAATCATAAGTCAGTCAGTCAGTCATGGTAAGTCCCATTCAGTAAAGTCCAGTAAATCATTCAGTCAGGAGTCCAGTAAGTCATTCAGCAGTCAAGTCAGTAAGTCAGATCAATAAGTCATTCATTCAATCAATTAACTCATTGAGTCAAGTCAGTAAGTCATTCAGCAGTCCAGTAAAATCATTCATTTCAAGTCAGTAAGTCATTCAGTCAACCAGTAAGACAGTCAGTAAAGTCATAATCCATTCAGGTCTCTAGTCATAAGTCATTCATCAAGTCAGTAAGTCACTCATAAATCAGTAAGTTATCAGTCAAGTCATAAGTCATTCAGTCAAGTCAGTACTCATCAGTCAAAAGCAGTAAGGTCATTCAGTCTAGTCAGTAAATCAGTCATTCAAGTCAGTAAGTTCATTCTTTCAAGTCTAGACATTCCAGTGAAGTCGGCAAGTCCTTCAGTCAAGTCAGTAAGTCATTCAAGTCAAGTCAGTAAATCATTCAGTCAAGTCAGTAAGTCATTCAGTCCAAGTCAGAATAATTCATAAAGTCCAGCAAGTCGTTCAGTCATGTCAGAAATCATTCTGGTCAAGTCAGTAAGGCAGTCAGTCAAGTCAGAAGTTTGTTCACAATCAGGTCAGTGTCCATTCAGTCAAGTCAATAAGTCATTCCCAGTACAAGTCAATAAATCATTAAGTCAAGTCAGTAAGTCATTCCATCAATCAGTAAGTCTTCAGGTCAATCAATAAGTCATTTCATCAAGTCATCCTTGTCAAGTCATAAGCACTCATCAAGTCAGTAAGTGATCATAAAGTCATTCATCATGTCATAAGTTTCTCAGGCAATCAGTATGA